ATATGCGTTTTTAATAACTTTTACAGTTATCGGTATGATAACCAACGAAATACCCAACCTGCCTTCTGCATAGAAAATATCTAGTCATTTTCAACACTTACTGAAGGATATCTATCTGCCAATCTCAAAAAAAACTGAAAGAAAATAAAGAGAAAGAAAATTTTGCACTTTCTCTTTGATACCGGATTAAACAGGCGTAGTGGGACCGTCCCTTGCTTCGATCGTCTAGGGGACCATTTAAGCAGGTGACGACTTACTGGTAGTTAAGCACCTGCAGTGCATGGATGCAAAACTGGATCACTAGGAAGGGCCAAACAAGGTGCTGATCAGACACCCGCGATATGCCACAACCGTAGGCATATTTATACATAAAAACTTTTATTGCTGCATATGTGACGAAACAGATGAAAACTTCGAGGTAGTGAAAATAGTGGTTTCGATGTCTGGTTTTGCGACTACTATAAACAGCAAAATAATCCACATGACAATTGATCTTTATATGACTGCCAATTCTATATTTTACTATTTATGCATTTTTTCTGTTCAGCATTAAGAAACGCCATGCAAAAGTGCTTAACATCGAACATGAGTATTGCTTTACCAAAGCTACATGAAATTTTTAATACAAATAAGAAACGTAACTAAGTTAACCATGAACATTGAATACCTTAGGGAATAATTTCCTCCGTTTGCATAAGCATCAAACCAATGTCTTTGATCCGTAGTTTCGTCAGCGTACTTTGGCCTTAGCCGGCCATCTTTGCTTACTATACAGCACTGAAGTCCGCCACAACACGCTTCTTGATATTTAATGCATCTACAAGTATTTAGATGGCCAAATTGGTTAACGAAGGAGTTAACAAAACGATTAAACCAAAGCAGACCCTGTAGTTCGATTATTTACAGTTGTTACAATGTACTAACATTTATCTAACCTTCAGGAGTCGCGACTGAAAAGCATTCGTGTGCCGTACGCATCAGAGGCCATGGCCGAATGATTCGGTAGCTCTGACAAGATTACATCAGAACATCATACAGTACAGTATTTGCGGGTAAACCACTTGTCAATCTGTATCTCGGATCTCGGCTGGATAAACCGAAGAGCCATGGGGTAGAGGGGGGATTCTTCGTTCGTTAGAATTGAAAGTTTATAAGCGACGATTTACATTCATTGGATTTGAAACAGACATCTATGAAATGCATAGGAACCTGCTAACCAATCGCATCATTGCCTCACCCATCCCAAGTTAGGCGAAGTGTCGTCTTAGAAAATCGAGCTGATTCATCGTGCTGTTACAGTTCCTTGACAGCAGGTACTATGTTTCGATAACAGCGGAAATGACTGATAATAAGGCGAAAGTTTCACTTCCATCGAAAGTTGATTAAGTACTGTCTAACTTGCAAGCTTGGATATCGATATGATTTGAATTCATTAACTCGGCTTTGCCTACAGTTGTGGGAATCCTGAAAAATATGCCATTCATGAAGGGATCCCGTTACTTCGTAACATCAATGCTAAGAGATGGCAGAAGCTGTTTAAAAAGCAGCGGTTCAATATAATGTACAAAACTTGGGAGGGGGCACTGACGTAGCGGCTCATTAGGCTGCTTTTACGTCAGAGATGGAGGGTTCAAGCCTAAGGGCGGTGTGAGGTTTTCGTACCAACTGCTAGGTCCCTCGAGCAAGGAACTCACCTCATCATGCGACCTAATAGACGACCTTACCTTCTCGAAATGTTGCACCTTTCGTTATTGCGTTTCATAGCTCTAAAGTAACGCTTGATTTGCAGTTCAGGTGTCGTCTGTCTGATTTTACCAGGGGACAAAAAAAGTATAAGAGCAGATGCAGTTTCTAGGAAACTGAGAATGCACCTGCCAAACGCATATATTTAAAAAGGGATATTGAAGGAGCATCGATCAGACATTTTTGAAGACCTCATATAATGACTAAAAGGGCAATAAATGAGCGACCATTCATGACACAATGCAGGCCCGCTCTTGAATGCTGACAAAGCGAAAGACATGACTGTAGGAACACCGTGGCCACTATTCTTCATTATCCAAAAGTGTGGATTGAAGGGAAACAGTGGTCACTGTTTAAATTATCATCCACTACCACTGCTGATATGACAGTAATCATTTACAAATTTTAAAATGTCAGCTTATAAGAAAATAATGAAGTAGTTGAGGCGAATCTGCTCCACCCTTCACCCCTATTGGTTAAAAATACTCTGGACGCTAAACAATGAAAAACTAAAGGCAACTAATTGCCTTTACATCCAAAGAGAACGTAATCAAATTTAGCCTGTTTCGTTATTTATTACCTAAAATCTAAATAAAGAATCATATTTCTTAAATTATTAGAGGGGGTCAATGTATGCGTCGATTTTAAAATGCTCACAATCATCAACCATTTCAATCCACTGCCAGATAAGGGTCCCTCCAGGACGTTGCCATAGAGTTCTGTTTTCTGTGATTCGTATCCACTTACCCACTAACTTACCATCGATCAGGAGGTCATCCCATGGGCAGTAGACTCTTTGGACCCAAGTTTATTGTCTCTCTGTCCAGCGATTGCCTGTTCTTCGTATGCGTGTCTCGCCCCTTACCGTTTCAACTTTTCCACTCTTGCGTTGCCATCGCCGACTACTGGTTGATCTCTTACCCATTTTTTCGTCTTCCTATTTCATCTTGCTATTCCCAAGGATTTCCTCACCATGCTGAGTTGCGTAATGCGTAGCTGCTGAACAGCTTTCATGCTTAAGGATCGCGCTTGGCATCTGTCAGGAGCATACTAATCGAAAATTATCCGTTTCAAGCAGCTAAGAGTAAAATTTTTAACCTTCCAAAGGTGATTCACGTCATGTTTACTCTTCGGTTCACTTCCCTGAGTCAGTTCTCTCTTTTAAAAATGACCTCCCCCAAATAGAGGTAGTCTTGTCTATCCTAAAGCCTAAATTCATTGACCTCAACAGGTGCCAGGGACCTGATGGTCAGGTTCAATTTTAGTTCTATTACGACAATAGTGTCGTTCACCTCTTGGATTCTTTCTTGGTGTTCGTTTGGTGACTTTGGGAGGTCCAGAATATCGTTCGTAAAACACTTGTAGCTAAAGTAGCGGCCATTTATCTTCAGCCCGTAATTTTCCTAATCGCTCCTGTGAATAACATTGCTGATATTTCGTCTCCTTGTCTGACATCCGCTTAGGTTTGAACACTTGTGCTTTCGTAGTGTATGAACAGTTGCATTTTTGCAGCTAATAGTGATTAAGTCTCTGACTGTTTCTTTCAGTTCCCTGACTCCTCAAGAGATCCAATACGGATAGGTTGTAGACCCAGTCGAATTTCCAGACATAGTTGAAGCTGTGAAACATTCACTGCTTGTCTGAAATACTAGTTGCACCACCTGGAGATGATCAACCGTTCTGAATCCACGTTTGAATCCTGGTTGTTCCTCTGACTGTACAGGGTCCAGATATGATAAAAGTCGGTTCGGCAGTACCTTCGGTAAGGTCTTGTTAATGATTGTCAGAAACTGATCAGTCCATAATTTACCGTGATTACACAGTAATAGTGTCGAAATCAGTTCATGCTGGCCGTATATATTGCCAAAGTTAGAAAAATTATAACTAACGTCACGTCACTTCATAAATGGGTACCCAGTGGTCATGATCTACGCGATTATTATTTGGGAATTACTGACAAAAGATTGACAGTATCATGCAGTGACAAGAAATCGCGCTGGGTTGAATGCATAAATTTGAAAACATGATATTCAAAGAAAATTATATCGAAAATTATATCGCCATTACCTTCGGAAGCATATGGGAGCGTGGTGAAAATTAAATTTAACAGACTTACTGAAAGACTATCTTTTTCACGGGTTCATCGTCGAAGTACTTCAAACTTGTGTTCGACTGGATATCATAATAACACACAATGCGACTTTCTGTGAGACTTTCAGGATCCTGAAATAAATTTTAAATCACTGGAAATCAACTGCAGTGATAAATGATATCCCTAATTAGTGGGATGATGTATAGTTTTGAGCAAAGCTACAGCATCAGAGTTTCCAAGGTCCTTGGCCATTGAAACGGTGCCTTGGAGTTGATTTCTCCAAAGTTCCTGAATAATTAAAAAGGCATCGCTCGAATACCGCGTTATTCTGCCTCATTTTCTGCTCTTAAGGTTGAGAGCTGTAGAAATAATATTCCGTCACTATTTGTTCTGAGAATTTGCAGGGTCAGTAATCCCATGGTTCTGTTTGAAATGCCGATCATTCGATGAGCACAAGGGATATATGGCAGGATTCCCTTTTCGATTCCACTTGCTTTAGAAAAGCATAATACCAAAGTCCGCACTTACCATAGGATAATAGCGTTCTCCAATCCAGTAGTAATTGTTCAGCTTAGGCAAGAAGGTTTTTGAATTATACTGCGCGACGGTCAGCTGAAATGGTCCACCAACGAAAGGCGTGATCAGCTCTTGTAGTATTCGGTTTGTGTCCATGTCAAGCAACGAGGCAGTGTTTCCTTCCGAATACCATCCCCTGAAATTAACTGATCTATTTGAATGGAAAAATATGTAGTAATTCCTGAACGTCTTCTTAATGCAGACAACTATTGTTTGAAGCTCTTACCTCTAGTACCATTTCGTTGCAACAGCTGTCTTTGCTTAGCTTCTCTGATTACCTCTTAGCATGCAGCGAGTTATATTAGAATGTTCACTGAGCAAGAGCTCTTTAAAGCAGATGACTGCATGGGAACAGATTTTGGCGTCATTGCATGAGTGAAAATAAGTAGACGAAATAAGGCAAATGAAATAGTGATGTTCTGGGGTAGCTACAACGAATGGCAGCTTTCCAGTCTTGCCGGATGAATCACTAACACAGAATGAAAACGCATGCCCCTTGGCTGCAATATTTGAGGTGGACTATTTAACCAAGTATCGTCTCCAGGGTATTCAAGCGCCTGCAGTGCATGAAATGTAATACCGCATCACAGAGTCGGGCCGAACAAAATTTTCCATTATTTAAGTAGACAGACGCTTAGACCTGATAAGGTAAAATATAATCCTATATTGGATTCTGATAATCATGATAACTATCTCAAAACATCATTATATTTTGTCATAATATTACATAACTGTTCCGTTTTTGCGCCAGTTATTGAAATTGCAGATTGTTCCTGAGTCAGGGCTTAAAACATCAAAGAACACAGACATATTCTGCATTATGACTTTATAAGCAAGTTTATGTCTATAAGCTGCTAACACCTGTGTTGCTAGATGCTCAAAGCCATCAATCGTTTGTGTACATTTTTGGTATATTTCACCTGATGTTCCAGTCATTGTTTTACATTGCTTTAAAGCATGTTATGTAAATGTTATGTCTGTTTTATACTCCATTTGTACTCCTTTCACATGCGTCTCTGAGCTTTACCTACGTCTTAGTGCAATGCAGTGAAGATCTCTTCTGCTATTGAGCACAATCGAACACAGCCAAAAACTGCAACTTGAATAAATTCTCACTATCAATACTTATTGTATTTATCAACTATTTATTATAGTATATTTATTGGCCATTTCGCTTCTGTACATCAGATTCATTACAATGAGGCAATGCAAGTGTCATTTATAACCTACTGCAAATTGCTCAACGATTACGGTAGAAAAGTCAAGAAGCGATCATGACTAGGTCAATCAATAAATCTATGCTATGGTCCTACCCAAGCTTGACAATAATTAATTGCTCACCTGACTCGTCGCCGGCCCTGTGTTGACACAATCCCGAGTTGTAACAGTAGAACCATGAGTACTGTCTTCACAAAATTTGCAGAGTTTGGAGGCAGCCACGATGACTTCATCACTGCCGTTATAAATAGAAACAGCAAGAGTTTTATCGAACGGTATGACCGGTGACGGTTACTTTCGAAAACAGGTTGATACGTCGTCGTCGGCTGGCAGGTCACCGACGGCCGGGGGGATTCGTGCGTATTGACACTGTTT